AACTTTCTGGGGGTATAGGACTTAACTAAAGCTTCCTACATCAATGGTACAAAATTGTTTGAACTTGCAATAAAATTTTGATGGCCTTTTTCCCCCTATTAAGGTGAAAAAGGAGTCCATATAGATGAAGGAATTCATGTAGCCATGCCTCAAAGCCAGTTTACTCACCTAGTACTTTTAAAAAAAATCATTGGTAGTTAATGAAGGGACTTAACATTTGCATTTATTATTTTTTTGCTAGTTTTCTGATTTATTAATACTGATTTCTTGGAAAATTGGAAAATTTCCGAAAAGTAAATATTCAGTATCTTGTTATCCAACTATATAAAGATAACAGCAGTTAAATGTTTGGTGCATTTTCATCCAGTTTTTTTTTTTTTTCAATGTATAAATATTAAAATTATTTCATAGTTGAGATCATACTGCATATGTGGTACTGTATCTTGCTTTTTTTCATTTTAACAAGAGCATTTTCCCATGGCATTGAAACTGTCTTTGAAAAATTGAAAGCATTTTGGGCTGTCAGCATAACTGAAAATGTTTTCTTGGTATGACACATGTATCTTTGTAATTGATTTGATTTAGTGTGCTTTGCTTCAATAAAAGTTCAGTATTAAAATTTCCAGATTGGGTGGGGAGTGGTCTACTTCAAATTACCAAAATCTTCCTAGTAGAATTTCTTTTTCAATGATTGAACTCCCCACCACACTTACACACAAGTGCTTTTTGCTTAAAGCCTCTGAACACAACTTTGTGAAGAGAGAGGGCTACCATTTGAATAGTGCAATTCATTTCAAATGCAAGAATACCAGTTTCTTAGAATTCAGTTAGGATGTTAACCACTTTGTTCTAGTTGTGGAGATTTCAAATCCCCCCCTTTCTGCTGGAGGCGAAAAAACTGGTGGAGCAGATCTGCAGAGGGTCCTGAACCTGTCTTGCTGAGTGAATCAATAGTAATAACCGTCTGCCTTCTCTTTCAGGGCTAGCCCTCACAGGGCTGGGGGTGGGGTGTGGTGGGGTGTGGTAAGCAAATAGAGTGTGTAGACTTGGCTTCCATGTCAGGGGCTACTGGTGGAGGAAGGAGGTGGATTGGTTCTGTATTTGCTCTTTCATGCCTATATGTGACCTAACTATGTGTTGGCAAGCTGGAATCACATGTAATTCTCAAAATAGGATTTTCTTATTCGAAGCATGAACTTGATATGAAAATAATAGTTAATATGCTGCTTTTAACAATTTACCATGTAACCTAGATTCCTGTAACCTGGACTTGTAACTTTGTTTTAGCTCCAGTGGGAGCTTTCTTTTCAAAGTATGATTAAATTCTAATTTTTCTCCCTCATTTCTTCACTAATCATTTAAAATGGATGCAGAAACTTTGAAACTGATAAAGTTTATCTTGTATTAAGCAATTCAGACTTTTCTGTCTAATCATACTACTTGTTCTATTGCTTTTTGTCAATTGATATTCCCATAGCCCATTTGAAAAATTGTGTTTTTGTTGGTTGTATGCCCTTGGGCTATGCAACTTCATTTTTAGTTCTGAAGCATGTCTGGATTCTCTGTACTTGTATAGGCCTGATTATTCATGTGGCTTAGCTTTCTAAGCTTAAGGTTTTCTAAAGCATCTTCTAGTAGCTGTCATTGGTTTATTAAATAAAATTTGGGCTGTTTAAAATACACATTATTTTGGTTGTTAATTTTTTTATTTATTTTTTGACACTTGAAAAGTCTTTTTGGGGAAGATTAGTTAAACTTTGAAAAGAAATCTCACTGCTGAGAGTAGGTAATGTTGCACATTGTGATTTTACTTTAGCTGTCAATCTAAACCCAAGTCAAACACCCAACAGAAAAAGATGGATTTTGTGGAAGTTACTGGGACATTTTCAAATTGATATTTACGCTCATATTTTTCATGGAGAATGTGCCTGTTCACTTCTGAAGGAGTGACTTATGAGCCTTAGGTGTTAAATCATACTGCCATGGAACTGAGCATTGGGGTGGGGTCGATTTCTTGTGTGTGTGGTGTCAAATCATATCTTGAGTTGAATTACTGAAGTAGTTTATTGCTGAAGGTCCAAAATTTGCAGTATAATTACCTTAGAACCTTCTGCATTATGGAGCAAGTATGATGGTTATTGTTTAGAGTATTTGTACATCTTTTAGTAGTATGTTGTGAGGAATGGGGTTACAGACACAGCTCTCAAGGAGTTTACAGAATTGGTGAGGAACTTTAAAAAATGCCAGTAATTTGGGAATAATTGAATTTTTAATTGATGGCAAAGCTTTAAGTGAAGAGGGCTACTTGAGTTTATTTTCTGGTGTTGGAGAAGTGAATAAACATTAACAGCTTTGAATTTTAGAATATTGGATAAGACTCTGAAACATCATTATTTTTCAGAATTCAGTCAATGTTATGTGCCAGGCACTGTATTAAATTTATTAGCTAGAGTTAAAAAGACAGTTTAGGAAGAGTTGAATGATGGTATGGTGGTACTGTACTATTCTAGAAAATGAGCCTGAGATGCTGCTTTCCCTCCTTTCATTTTTTTAAATTAGCCTGTGTGGGCGGGGAAAGGAGGAGTACAGTTCTTTTTTGCAAATGTTAAGTTTGAGGGAAGAGGAGCCCACAAGAGACTATTAATAGGAGAGGTGGGAAAACCAGGGAAGAAGCCCTCAGAAGGGAGGTTTGAGACCAGATAGGAGAGGGGCTCGGCTAGGCTTCCATGGTCCAAATGACATGCCTGTAATGTCTGGCTTCCCTTTTGCTCCTTTTCTATTACTAACTAATCAGTGGGAAGCAGATGTTGGAAGGTAGGTACAGGCCCAGTCATTGTAGGAACTGCAAATTCTTGGGTATAGGCAGTCAGCATTCAATTTTAAGCGGGGAGAGGAAGTCAGGAAAAGAGAGTAACTTCAAAGAATGGGATCTAAGGCAGGCCAGGCCCTAGACCCTAAAGTCACTTCACACTAAAATATTTTATAACCGTGAATAGGAATATGGAATCTATTTGAGGTTATGTCTCAGTTCTTGCTTTATTTAGCTGTGTGTCCTTGGGTGGCTCACTTAATCTTGGTGTTTCATCTACAAAATGGAAATAATACAGGTATCAGGGTTATTTTGAGGATGAAATTGAAAAGTACTTAATGTAGTGCTGGATGCAGTAAGTGCTCCAATATTAGTGCTTGTAAAGGAAGGGTTGGCCAGAGGGAGAGCAGTGAAGGGCAGGTTGGTTAGAGCCTTTTAGAAGAGGTGTGTTGTCTATAGGGAGAGCAGTGAGGGGCAGGTTGGTTAGAGCCTTTTAGAAAAAGTGTGAGCTTTAGAAATACGCTTAGCATATAGAAGGTGGTTGAGGCTGTGGGCTTGAAAGTATCCACAGTACTTGTATAATGGGAACAAAGTCAGGGCATTTAATGGATTTGAAGTGGTAGGAAGCAGAGAATTCTTTTTCAACTTAATATTCACATTTAAATCATATTTACAAATCATAAAATTAGAATGAAGCCAACCTGTAAGCTTATTTTAAGTCAACTCTTTGGAAACATTGATTATACTAGATCATGTTATAGAAGTTTAATCAAGCAACAACAAAATCCCATGGTGATGCTAGAATAGCATAAGGGGAAATTCATGAGAAGAAATACCCACTGTCAGTGGTGTTAGGTTTTTAAATTCAATGCTGTGGTTTATATTTTCTTGTCTCACTCGTGCCTTTTATAGGTTTATCCTAAACATTTTGAGTAGAATATGTTTGCCTCGACCGTTCAAGAGAGGAAGGCATTGAGTGTTCAGAAATGAGTGTTGAGTTTATTCTGGATTTAATAACTCACTGTGCAAGCAAAACAGCAGGATGTTTTATGGTTCTTTTGCCCTTCCCCACTCTTTAAAGGATTATAGATGATAATGAGTTAGGTTGTCCTAAGGGAGTATCTAACAAATAGAGTCCAGAACTTGAGTATTCAGGCAGCCCAAGTTGTCCAGGGCAGACTTGTTTTTTAATTTATGTTTTTATTGATTTCAGAGAGGAACGGAGAGAGAGATAGAAACATCAATTATGAGAGAGAATCATCCATCGGCTGCCTCCTGCTCACCCCCTACTAGGGATCTGACTGGGAATTGAACTGTGACCTGGTTCATTAAAGCCATGCTGGCGGGCCAGGGAAGGCTCATTTAGTACTATATGTCCCAGCAAAATTTATAGCAGGGACCTGTTTTTTGGGTTTGATAGTGTACTGTTTTGGATGACAAATTATAAAGTCGCTTCATCTAGAAGGGGATGTTGAAAGCCCACTCAGGCCTGGAATGATTGCTTGTTCCCTCTTTGTGCATATACACACACAGTCACCCTTTCATATCCACAGACACACCAGAGAGAGGGATCTGTTGAAATGGAGACTTTTTTTTTTTTTAATTTTTTTTACAGAGAGGAAGAGAGAGGATAGAGTTAGAAACATTGATGAGAGAGAAACATCTCTCAGCTGCTTCTTGCACACCCCCTACTGGGGATGTGTCTGCAACCAAGGTACATACCCTTGACTAGAATCAAACCCGGGGACCTTTCAGTCTGCAGGCCGATGCTCTATCCACTGAGCTAAACCGGTTTCGGCGTGGAATGGTGATTTTCAATAACTGAAATTGTTTAAAACAAGTGCCTTCTGTCATCTGCTATAAATTGCATATACAGTACAGGGAGGATTTCATGATCTGTTTGTACACCTAGCATGGCGCTTGCTACATAAGCTTCCAATAGTTGGTACTTACCAATATTATAAATATTGGTAGCATTACCAATAAAACGTCTCATGTGAAAAGCCAGACAATTTCTCTTTCCAGAATAAAGCTTTGCGCTCTGGGGACCCCTTACAAAAAAAAAAAAAAAAAAAAAAAAAAAAAAAAGGCAGACATCCTTTGACACTATGACAACATTGAAAGTAAAGTGGGTTGCTTTCAAGAGGGTTGAATGATTGAGCAACTCTAAAACCTTTTTTCTTCTTCCTAGGTCTTAGTGGTGCAATGGCTAGTATAAGCGTGCGTTCGAGTACCCCAGGCTCTCCTACACATGTAAGCAGTGGATCGAATGCTAGTCGAAGGAGAAATGGACTCCATGATGTCGATTTGAACACTTTCATATCAGAAGAAATGGCACTCCACTTGGACAATGGTGGAACTAGAAAGCGTACCTCAGCCCAGTGTGGCGATGTCATTACAGACTCACCAACCCATAAACGCAACAGAATGATCTAAACTGAAAACATTTTCACACCCACCATGCTGCTTGAAAGCCACTTGATCCTCAACATATACTATTATTGCAAAGGAAACATGAGGCCATCTTCCCTGTTCACTGTTTCTAAGACAAGTGAATTCTATAGTGGTTGCCATAAAAGGAAGTTCTAGGTATTTACAGTAGATGCCTCTTGTAACCATGGCTTTCTTAAAACTATAATCCTAGCAGAGGACATCAGATATTGTGTAGTTAGCAAGATCATCATAGGCAAACATATATCCGTTCCAAGGCTAAAAGTGACCTTAACTGTATTTATTCTCAAAGGGAAAGGAAATATCAGATGTTTATTTGGTTATAGGATGCTTTTTTTTTTTTTTTTTTTCTTTCTTTCCATTTCCTGCTGTGTTGAGTATTTTGCTTCAACAGTATTGCCAGGTTCCTAAAATTATCTAAAACACGATTTGGCTTCCTTGTCAAATCTGCAGGCTTCCATTTTTGCACAGCAGCACTGTACCATGCACCTGATTTCTATGTAGTAACAGTGTGCAACTTCTAATTTTTGGACTGTGCCCTGTTTTCAGTTTTCAAAGCAGTTGCTAATTCTGGTGATTGTGATGTAAAGAGGTGCTATGATGGTCATGCAGTTAATACTTAATATTGAATCAATACACAGAACTTTATTGGATTCACTTTGTGTGTGTTAGTGCTCTAAAAGTAGCAATATTTTAATCGCCCCCAGTTGAATGAACCCTTTAGGCTTAAACTCCAGTTTTAAGACAAGTACTGCTTCCAATGCAGGGTACTTATTCTTAATGGTAAATGGAAACATGTAGACTGCACTCAAGGTGACCCAAAGTAGAGAGGTCATGAACTTTGAGAGTGGGCTTCCTTTTTGGTATATTTATGAGAAGGGAAATGGATTGTGGGAATGTAGGTATTCCAGCCTTTCTTTCCTGTTTTACATTTTTTATGAGTGCCCTACATTGTGCAGTTTCCATTAGAATGGGTGGCAGGTTAAAATAGGTCTTGATCTGCTTACAATGTGATTACAATTTAAATAGCAAAATCCAACTAATCCCTCTCCTAAAAAGGGCAGTTTGGAATCTCATTCTGGAAAAGAAGGAATCGCATGGAGGTTCTCTAGATGTTAGGTAGACCCAAATAAAAGTTCTCACTAGATTCCTCTTTTGAGTAAAATATAAGACCTCTTGTAGCTACAATGTTTTAGAGCATGTTTCATATTCATTTTTACTATCTCGAACTGAATGATAGTCTTTTTTTAGATGAAGAACTGATGTCAGCCTGTCAGGTACTGTAATTTATTCTACCATATTATTATATAATATATATCAAGTAGGACAGTGAAAAAATGTTTCCTTGCAAATTTGTAGTCCAGTATCAGTTACTTCTTTTTATCCTTAAAAGACCATTGCAAATCCAATGTAAGGGTTTTTCCAGTAATTTACTCTCAGCACTTTGTTAAAGTTTGCATTTTCTTCAGCCATTTAATAATATCTTTATGTGAAGAAACTTTGCTAAGTCATCCATAATATTCATCGACTGGGTGGGATGTGAACGGAATGTTAGAAATGTGTGAAATGGAGTTCTGTATTCATTATATATAAAACCTTTTATTTAAAAAAAGTCAATTCCATGCTAAAACTAGAAATGAAAGAGGTATTTCTAAATTTTGGCAAAAGTGGATTATTTTTGTTTTAATATTATAGCAGGAAGACTTATAGCAATCTCTCATTTTACCTAAAATGGACAAACCCTATGTATTACCAATACTTTCAAGCTGCCCTTGGGACTATACAAAGAAATGCAGTTGGAGATATCTGTGTTTTTCTGTCATTGTAAATTTAGATTCTGGAGTTGGGGTCTGGTGGTGTGGTAAGTTGCTCACATGTGGCCAGAACTCCTACTCCTAAAGGATTTTTCTGAGATTGAGGAACGAATATTTAATCTCCCCTTTATGCCTTGGTTCTAGTTCCTCTTTCCAAGTTGAGTGACAATTTCGGGGGGGGGTTTTGTTTTAGTTGGTGCTCTGACGCTTAATCTCAGTACCCTTTACTCTTGATTGTCAAATTTTGATAAAATATGTGCCATTTTCTTTGGTAAGAGAAAGCAGGTCTTGTCTGCCAGAACACAATTTATATGCCTTATTGGCTCCATTAAACTTTTTGAAAACTTTAGCATTCGTTACTTTTTTCCATTGTATTTAATCACCTGTAACTCCTCCGTTTCTATTCCCTTGCTTTCTCCTGTGCCTCCTGAGCACAGACTAATCCCGAAACCCAGGTTAGAAAGGAAATTATTTCTTTTAGGAAAAGTTAGTTCTGACCGCTAGATTTTTAAAGCCTTTCTTTGTACCATTTTAGATATAAAACGAACCATGGAAGATTCATATATGTGGGTACTTTTAAAATGATGATTTTTTTCCTCCCCCCCCAGTCTCTTGAGAACAATTGTAGGCTGAATTTTAAAACTTAACACTTTGCTTTTGGGGAACAGAATCTCTTCATCTTGAGATAGATTATCAGATTCTTTTAGACATCATATAGCTCATTAGTTCTGTTCCTTGCATCCTAAGTTGGCATGAGTGGGTTGAAGTCATCCTTATACTGCAGTGTTCTGAGCATGGCTGAAAGCATTAAAACCTTAATTATAATGTCTGGTATTTTATAGAGCGGAATTAATGGAAACATTTGGCTGAATCTGAAGACCTGCAGTCAAATTCTTCAATGTGGTTAACTGGAGTAGTGGTACACACCTTAAATCATTCAATGAATAAATATTAAAAAAACAACAACAAAAAACCATGGGGCTTGTCTGCAGTTTTGTTGTGCTCATAACATCTGAATAGCTCTTTGTAATAAAATGAAGTCCAGGCTTTATTTTTTTATTTATTTATTTATTTTTTTTAAAATATATTTTATTGATTTTGTACAGAGAGGAAGGGAGAGAGATAGAGAGTTAGAAACATCGATGAGAGAGAGTCATCGACCAGCTGCCTCTTGCACACCCCCTACTGGGGATATGCCCGCAACCAAGGTACATGCCCTTGACCGGAATCGAACCCGGGTCCTCCAGTCCCCAAGCCGACGCTCTATCCATTGAGCCAAACCGGTTTCGGCTGAAGTCCAGGCTTTAAAAAAAAAAAAAAAGAAAAGAAAACCAGCCTACATTTTTTTCCCTAAGGGCTATTGGAGCTCACTCAACTTGAGTAATTATGGCTTTGGGTCTTAAGGTTTCCCTACAGCAGTAAAAGTTGGGCAAGCTCTATATAGCAAAGGCATGGCCAAGGTCTGAACGTGAGGGTGAGCTAACCCAAGTGCAATGAAAGTGCAAGATACCAACAGGTGATCTGGGAATGGGGCCGTTAGTTAAGGATATGGACAGCACAGTTAATTTTAGAAAACAAGACAAATCCTTACATTTTTGGCAGATTGTTTGAGGCATGTAGTGACTGTTAGTAAATCTCATTGCATTATATTTCATACAACTCATTTTGTCTATTAGGTTGATTCCTTAGGTGTCTAGTGATGAAGTTGGGAATCTTCAGAAATACATTCTGTCCTCTAAGAATGGAGTGACTTGGGAGGTCCCTGCAAACAAGGTCAAAAATCCATGTTAGCATAATTATTATTTTAATGTTTTACTTATTCATCTTCACCTGGGGAAATTTTTCCATTGATTTTTAGGAAGAGTGGAAGAGGGAAAGTCAGAAACATTGATATCAGAGAAACACATCGGTTGCCTCCTTCATGAGTTCCTACTAGGTCCTGGACAGGGTAGGAGTATCCAATCAAGGTACCTGCCCTTGACCAGAATCGAACCTGGAACCCTTTGGTCCTCAGACTGATGTTCTATCCACTGACCCAAACTGGCTAGGGCAAATCCCATGTTTATTAAATTTAAACTTAAGATTTATTAATTTAAGAATATTATTCTGATCTGATGTTTATAGTGCCTGCTCTCCCCCACCCCTTTTGAAAGTTGTTAAAACTTCGATCAGTTCAGATGACCTTCCAGACTCCACATTAGAATGTTTCTGAGGTATGTGATGTTTTAATGGGGACAATATTTTGGTTGATATTCCATGTGTTGGACTGATGCATTTGACATGGCTTTATTTCCTGTGATGGGACATGCATGTTCTCTTAAGTTCAGCAGATAGCAGCCTGTGACAAGAAAGTGTTTTGAGGATTCAACACAAACTTATAGCCCTCAGCAAAACTGGGAAGTTGCATTGATGCTATTCCAAGTTTCTGATGCCCCCTCATTTTATTTGTATTGAATTAATGATTTAAAGAACATCCATATTTGCAAAAATTAAGCCACACAATTGGTTATAGTGTATGCTAATCTTTCTGCATGAGAATATACATTGAGTGGTCAGATTATTACGATCTCTGAACACAATAATCTGGCCACTCAGTGTATATACTATAAAACAAAAGGCTAATACTGCAAATTGTCCCCTCAACCAGGAGTTCGACCAGCAGGCAGGCTGGACAACTACCCATGTCCCCTTTCCCTGGCCAGGCAGACTGGACCCCACCCATGTACAAATTAATGCACCGATCCTCTTAATATATATATATATTTGTGTGTGTGTGTGTGTGTGTGTGTGTGTGTGTGTATACACACACAAAGTGGCCAGATTATGTGTTCAGAGATCATAATCTGGCCACTCAGTGTATGTGGTAATGCTTTATGATCTAATAGTACTTCATTATATGGGTGGTCCTTAGTGGGAACCACAGTTTTTCATAATTATAATACTGCACAGCAGTTAATATTCTAGTTTCTTTAAAAGTATATTTTTATTGATTTCAGAGAGGAAGGGGAGTAGGGGGAGAGCGAGAAACATCAATGATGAGAGGATCATTGGTTAGCTGCCTCCTGCACATTCCACTCTGGGGATGGAGCCTGAAATGCAGGCATGTGGCCTGACTGGGAATGGAACGGTCACCTGGATCATAGGTCCATGCTCAACCACTGAGCCACGCTG